ACTCTTTTGACTTCAAATAAATTTTATCTTGTAATGGTCTTCAACAGTATTGCATCCAGTGAATAGAGATTGCCAATCAAGGGATGAGAGATCGCTGTCTATAAGATCATAGTTGCTTTTTTTGAAGTTATAATTGGGGATTACATCATTTTGGTGATTTTTGTGTGGGCGTATGTTGAGACAAAAGTCACTCATATTGTGGTCACTGCTGGAAAAGGGTTCTTTAGTTTGTATTCCGTAAATTAAATTCAAACTATTGCAGAAGATGAGATCGAGGCAGTTGTTTAGCCTAATGTTGTTGGTTACTAGTTGTTCCAGTCCCAGATTTGTAACAGCATTGTAGAAGGTTGCGTGTATGGTTTCAGTTGTACATTCATTTAGGGTCCAGTCAATATGAGGCAGATTGAAATCACCAAGAAAGATAAAAGGGTATGGGCAGGATGCTGCCCATGCTAGTAGTGTATTTAGCTTGTTTACATGTTCAATGTCATAATCAGGTGCTCTGTAACATAGTTAGAATCGAATTGTGATATTTAAGGATAGTTCACAGATGATGGTCTCAGGAAGAGCAAGCTCCTGGGTAACTTGGATATTTTTTAGATGTAAGGACTTTTTATAGAAGATAGCAACACCACCTCCTCTATGAATTTCACGATCTGATTGGTAAACATGATAGTCTGTTACTGTGGTAATGGAGTCAGGGAGAGATGCGTTGAGCCATGTTTCACAGACAAATATAATGTCGAATTTAGCCATATTTGGTAAGAGGAAAAATTCAGGTATTTTATTCGCGAGGCTTCTTGCATTGAGTAGCTTGCATTTAAGGCCAGCAGTAGTTGGAATTGAGGTAGTTAGGGGCATGCGTGCCTAGTCTTGGGTGATGGTGGATTGGTTGAGGTAGGGTTGTGGTTGAAGGTTAAAGCTGAGTTGCGGGTTGTGTGACTTACTTTTGATACAGTCAGCATGGTAGTCAATGTACAGGTCCTTCTCTCCATTGTCTTGACGTTTTTTGAGTTCAGTGCAGAGTACACGGGAGCAGGCACATTGCTGTATGGTTAGGTCAGGGCGACAACGGAAGTTCTTATGGTTGGTGTTGGTTTTGGTGAGTGAATTTATAGTGTAAATGAATTTACGTTTGCTTGATTCATTTTTGCAAATGACCCTGCAGAAGCGTGGGGCCACAGAGCCATCTCTGTTTTTGAGCTCTCGGCCAATGCGGGAAATGTCAAGTATTTCATCAGGGGAGATGGTTGATGCTTGATAATCACTGATGATGTTTTGGACAGTTGTGATGTCATCATTATCATTGATGTCCTCTAGACCAAATAAGATGCCGTTTGGACATTTCCGTTCACGCTCAATAGCTTCTCTGATGAGGATTGGGATATCAATATTTGTCTGGGTTATATTTTTTGGGAATTGGGTTGTGGATTGGGTTGTGGTTGTTGGGTAGAGATGTGGTTTGTAGCTATTGGATGTTCAGGTTTTTGCATTGTGTCTTTTTTTTCGAGGTTGGATAATCTTTCTTTTAAGGCGTCCAGGGATGCTACTATGGTGTCAAGGGATGTTAATCATGTTTCAATGGTATCAACTCTTTCAAACAGATCCAGTTTGGGTCTGCATGATTTGCAGAGATATGGAAACTCATTGGATGATTCTAGGTATTGAATCATTTGCTCGGGTAATCCCAAGCAGTCACGATGAGCGTATTTGTTACACAGAGAACATTTGATGGAGTTTTCATTATCCTTTAGAGTTTTGTAGCATTTAAGGCATGTGCAGGAGTCTTGTGGTTCATTGGTGGGGATTACTTTCTCTTTAGGTTGTGGTTTGGCATTGGATTTTTTTCTTGGCATGGTAGGTTTGTTAAGATAGTACGTTGATTGAATTAATTAATGGAACAATTTTGGGTAATCAATATAGCCAATATCACACCACTCAATCAATTGCAGTAATCTCTCTAGTCAGATAATTTTCCTAAGCAACGATCAGCCTAATCAATTAATTACACTAATCACTAATCAATTAATTACACTAATCATTAATCACACTGTTCAATTAAATTCACTAATCACTGATTTTACTAATCAATTAAATTACATGAATCTTGATCTTTTAAACTAGTCAGTAATCACACTATTTGCACTAAACACTCTAATCACACTAATCAATTAAAACAATAAATCAATTAAACCATTAATAAAATATTTTATAGAAATTGATTGTCTAATCATTGATACAGGTGATGAGGTAGAAAAGTTGTAAGTTTTGAGGTAATGAATTAATGAGTGTTTGATTAAAGTAATGAGGTAGTATTGAGAGTCTGCAAGGAAAGGGTTGTTTGTTTTACTAGCAGCTGTGGTTTACTGGATGAGAGGAATTTATTGCTCTGATTGCTGCTGCTATTACTCTGTAAACAATAGGCTGTAACAAGATGTTCAAAGCACGCTGGGTTTTTGAAAGAGAGCAAAACTCACTGAATTAAAATACATACCAAAAAACAAGCCCCAAAACACTAGATTCTGAAGCCGTGGAGCCCTAATAATGCTAGCGGGGCTCCTGCTAACTGATCCGGAGCCCTCCACTCCTTCCCCAGAGAAGTGAAGCTCTTTCCATCGAGCCCTATTAACCACACTGGTGGAGCTCTTGAACTGGATCACTTGGAGCCTTCAGAGTGCAAATATCGTACCTTTATTTAAATCCCTCACACAGCTGATAGAAGTATCTTCCACGCCAGACAGTGCGTTTCCATTAATATCCCCCACACAGATTCCCCAGAGCCACATCATACAGCTGGCAGGGAGAAATAAGGAGGGAGGAGAAAGCCCTGAGGCTCTTAGGAGCCAAAAGTCATCCTGGATGGCAGAGGAATGCTTCGGTGGTCGAGAGGAGAGGAGAGTCTCCTCGACTGACCCGAAGAAAACCCCTCCATCTGAACTAAAAAGAGAACTGCCAGCATGGCTAAATCGAAACCAGGAAGGCAGCTGAGACAGAAGTGAAAAAGAAAGGAAAGATCTTGTAACAGCGTGCTTAGTCTTGGTAAGAATCACTCCAATTTCTGCAGTGGAATTTTCCTTGGAAAGTGGGACTCAAAGGAGGAAAATAGCTGCGATTAACGATCTGGAGTGACTGTCAGATTTAGTTTTTTTTTAAAAAAAGATATTGCAACTAGAAGTAACTTTAAAAGTAAAGGACAGATTGGATTGATTAACCCAAATTTCTGGACTGTATTTTTACTACTACTCAACTTGAAGAACTTTAGGAAACTATTGTAAAACAATCTTATTCAGAGACATATTGATTGTAGTTAAAGTGTTTTAATTCAGCAAGTTTTGCTCTCTTTCAAAAACTGTTCCCTTCCCACCAATGTGATTCCTATTTTTCTACTTGCATTTTACCTGCTTTGGAACTGCTAGGTTGGCAGAAACTGGGACAAGTAACGGGAGCTCACTCCGTTATGCGGTGCTAAGTGTTAAGGTAATTCCCCATTAGGAGAATGAGTGCATACAGGGAGACGTATAGAGAGTAGTGTTGGAATAATACACACAGAGCACACAGATACACTGTACAGTAAATGTAGGTTTTTACTTCCAGAAAGGTTTAAGCAAAGTCCAAAATAAGCAATCCAAAGTCATTCACAGGTAAAATCATTCAGTTTTTCAATCCAGGGATAGTTCAGTAACAAAGTCCAGTGTCAAAAAACAGTTCAGTATCAGACTTACATTAAATCCAGTAATATCAGTCAATTAGAAGAAATGGAGCAACGGCAATACTTTCCAACAGAAGGAAACAGAGATACACTCAGACACTCTCTTCTGAGACTCAGACTAAACAACCCAGGTTTCTGGCTCCATCTTATGGCTGTTTGAGAAACCACACCCAATTGCATGGTCTTGCATTCCCTTAAAGATATAGTACTAAAATGTTTATACTGGTTTATATATTTCTAACCCAAATACAACAATCTTCCAGTAATGTCACCTAACACTAGGGATTCGAACCACTGAACTGCTGACCTTTCTGATCGACAAGCTGAGCATCTTAGCCATTGAGCCACTGTGTCCCTTAATAGCAATAGACTTACAGTATATACTGCTTTACTGGCCTCTCTAAGTGGTTTACAGAGTCAGCCTATTTCCCCCAACAATTTTGGGTCCTCATTTTACCCACCTTGGAAGGATGGAAGGTTAAGTCAACCTTGAGCCTGGTGAGATGTGAATTGCCAAATTGCAGGCAGCCAGCAAGCAGCAGAAGTAGCCTGCAGTATTGCACTCTTGCCACTATGGCTCATAGTAGAATAATGGGACTGCTTTACAGGGTGGCAAGTATGACCAATTAGAACAAGAGGCACTAAATCTAGTAACTTTCCCCTCCTGGCAGCCTGGCAGATAAATATAAAATTAAATTTAAAAAAATTAAAATTAATACGTTGGCCTGAAACTTCCTCTTGCAAAACCTAGGGCCAGCCCAACCTACTTACGGATTCCTACCTTACATGAATATGTTCTATGTGACTCTCATGGCGTGGCTTTTCTGCATAGACACATTACTCTGCCTTTGGCTTTGAACATTGGTAACTGGCTCATCAGAGCCCCACCCTACATAGGGGAAGTATGTGCAACACACCGAAAAGACTTGAGTTTCTACAGATACAGAAGACTATGAGTCCCACCCGAATCCTTTAGTTACTCCAAGGTGGGTTCTGTCCATTGTTAGTTTTCATTTCATCCATGGATTTGGGGCGGAGTAGAATTAGCCTGCTAGATTTGTTAACTGAGTGATGATAACTCATATTCTGGTTTTATTGCTGTTAAGAATTTGTCAGTTAGTAGCTTCCAGGAAGGGAACCCCTCCCATTCCTCTGGCTTGGTATGATCCATGCAAATAACTCCCACTGGTGGCAAGTGAGAAAGGCTCATTCTTGTTTTGACTGAACAGGGGAAAACAGCTGAAACAGTTTCCCCAGCTGATAGTCTGGACAAAAAAATAGATCTTTATCAATGGTCCTCCGAATCCCCCTTCGCAGGAGTGCCAGCTTCACTCCTGACCACCAACCTGGGGCAGAGATCTCCACTTCGACCCCTGTGAAAATGGAAGCCAATGTGGTGGTCCTAGGAGCAGACCACGTGGGAAAGTCAGGTAAGTTGGCAACAAAACTACTCTAGGGCATTTGCTATTTTAGGCTGCAAAATAATCTCTCTCTGCTAAAAAACAACAACAACAACACTGAAAGAAACTTGCAAACATGCAATGCAAGCTTCTGCAGGGTATCAGTTAAAAGTAAAAGTTGCCCTGCCCAGAAATGGTAGACAGGTAAAATGCAATGCTGCAACATTTAATGAGTGATACTATTTAGATGTGGCTAAACAGTTCTCTGCTCCATTAACTAAACAAATTACTAACTGGCTTGTCAGATTCCGTAAGTGTTGCAGAAAAGCGAAAGGGAATTAAGGTGGTTGTTCACAATTCTCATCTTCCATGCACTTCCATTGCAATTATCTGCATGTTTAACACAGAGTGAGTCTTGTTGAATTCAGAGATCTCATGCCCATTTTTAGCTTGTTATTTTTGATATTGAAATGTACAGGGTCTGCACGAAAGATTAAAAATAGGGTAATGTGTTAAAGAACAAAGGTAAATGTTGAGAACACAGGTCTTTAAGTATTTGAATTTTATTTGGAAGCTGGGTTTATTTTTAATGGGCGGGGGGGACAGCTTCCAATTTTTTTTGCTGGGGAATGATAACATCCTTTCCCATTCCTCCTCCTGCCCCATCTGTTCTATATAACAGTTTAAACTCCCACTCTTTTTCACAGCTCTGACGGTGCGTTTCCTTACCAAAAGGTTTATTGGGGAATATGGAGACATGGGTGAGTGTTTGGATCTTTACACAGTTTGGGGCTGGTTAATAATCTCTTTCATCCTAGGAATGGTGGGTGATGGATGGACCATCAAATTGGACACCCACAAGAAAACTACCAGAATATCTCTTGGGTTTTCACCTTGGCTGCTGTAACATATCTGGACTTTAACACCTAGAATTCCCCAGCCAGCCTTGCTGGGTGGAGAATTCTGGGTGTTAAAAGTCCACACATCTTAAAATAGACAAAGTTAAGAAACAGTGGGCTAAGGGGTGATAGGGAAATAAGTAAGTTTCAGATTCATAGAGACATAAAAAGCAAACTCAGAATGCTACCCTGTGTTTATCTATGGGGTTTCAGAATTGAATAGAAAATAGGATTGGGTTGGGGGTAGAATAGAATAGAATAGAATAGAATAGAATAGAATAGAATAGAATAGAATAGAATAGAATAGAATAGAATAGAATAGAATTCTTTATTGGCCAAGTGTGACACACAAGGAATTTGGAAGGTACATTGGAGAACTTCTAGTCCAACTCTCTGCTCAAGCAGGAGACCCTATACCATTCAGACAAATAGCTGTTATGCTCCTGGTGGAGACTGACTCTGAGGAAGAAGAGGAACAGCCAACAGGGAGTGGAAGTGTGGCTCTGGAGGTTGTGGAGGAGGCTGGGGAAGGGAAGAGGCTGGCTGAGCAGTCAGAGGAGGACCCAGACCCATCTCCTCTCCATCCTAGGGCACACAGGGAGGAGAGGATAAGGGAGAGATGTGGTTTCCTCAGGAGGAGAGAACCTTGATCCTCTTCATGGGCTGCAGGTGTGACAACTGAAAAAAAGTTTGGATGTATGTACTGGCAAACGCTGGAAACAAATCATATAAATATATCTAGTTTATAGTCCCTCTCTGAGTTTGGTGTGTGTTATCTGTGGACATCCTCCATCCCTTATCTTGCCTAGTTTGTGTTGCTTTTTCCTTCTTCATGTAACTGTTGGTGTGGGGTTTTTTTTGTCTTCCATCAAAGATATTCGGAGCTTGGAAGCAAACTGAAGGAATAAAAGGGGCTTCCCCTGTTTTCTGTGACTGTGTTTTTTTGTATCCCACCCTTGATCATCACAGTCTCTTCTTAAAAGCCTCCAGTGATGGAGCACCCACAACTTCTGAAAGTGAGCTGTTCCACTGGTTAATTGTTCTCACTGTTAGTAAGTTTCTCATTAATTCCAGATTGGATCTCTCCTTGATTAGTTTCCATCCTTTATTTCTTCTCTTGCCTACTGGTGCTTTGGAGAATAAGCTAACCCCCCTCTTCTTTGTGGCAGCCCCTCAAATACAGGAATACTGTTTTCATATCAAACATATGACATATATTGTGTCATATATGCTATATGACCACATAGGTAAGATGGCTAACAACTTGAAAAAGAAAATGGATTTAAGTTTTAAAACATAATTTCAAATCAAATTTCAATTTCAAATGAAGTTCCATAGGCTTCAAAATCATTTAGTATTGAAAATCCTACCAAAAGAGATGGTGTTTTTTTCCCTCCAAAATGCTACGGTAAGAGAGGGGAAACTGAGCAGCACCAAATTAAACACAGTATTTGACCAAGATCACATGATACTCTGAAGTGATAAATGATTATTTTAAGATCACAGCGGGTGTTTTTAGAACACTTGAGGTAGAACCTAAACAAATCCAGGCCAATTTAGCCAGGCCATTAGCAAGCTTTACACATCTTGTCCAAAAGGAAAATAACTCTTATTTTAAAGCAATACCTCCAAAGAAGAAATTAGGCTGAAAAAAGCCAGGTTTGCTCTCCATGTCATCTTCAGACCATTTCATTTTAAAGAAAAATTATTTATGTAAAACATTTTCAGATAAGTGCACAATAATAATGGTAAACTACATGCCATAGTTTATATTCTAGAGTGGAAGGACTCACTATCATGCAATATCCAAAGTTGATTTGTTTCATTTGGCTTAATGGAATGTGTGAATTCAGTCACTTGTGGTTTATTTAAAAAACATTATCAAGCTAACCTTGGCTTGGTCACCACCTTGTTTGAGGACAAAATGCTCTTTCTTTCCTTCCGCTATGAAATTAACCAATATAATATCAGAGTTACATGGTGGAAGAAAAACGATTTAAAAGAAGACCAATGAAAAGCCAGCATAGGGCATGTATTAGGGCATTGAACTAGGACTGGAAACACGCAGGTTCAAGTCTCCCCTCAACCATATGGCTCACTAGTTTGTCCTGAACTTTCTGCTTTTCTCCACCCAGAATCTGTCTACACACACAGTTTGGCAGTAGAAGGCAAAGAGATTCTTTTTCACATCTGGGACTTTCCTTGCTCACAGGTAAGAAAGTAAGGATCACTATAAATATAAATCAGTGTCTGCATTTGTGTGCATGTATAGTTCAATATAGTTAAGGTTCAATGTAGTTATATAGCAGGGGTGGGCAAACTACAGCCCGCGGGCCACATCTGGCCCGTTGGTCATTTTAATACAGCCTGCCTCTGAAAAAAAAAAAATCCCCTCTGAAAAAAAAATTGGGGCCGGCCAAAAGAGACCCCGCGCTGTGCGCCATAAAATCGCACACACAACACGGAGCTGGGCAGCCACTTCCCTGGTGGCGGGGCTGAGGTCGCTGCCCAGGGAATGCCCACTGCTTTCCCTCCACCCGGGCTCCGCTCAGGTATCCGGCTGGGGCTGTCAGGAGTTGCTACCGCGGGCACAGCTCCGCGCGGCTCCAGTCCCACATTGCCTTGGGAAGGGAAAGGCAAAACCAGGAGCCGCTGAGCCTGAGCCTCTGGTGCCACTGCTGCCGTTGCAAAGCGCCACCGCGGCTCTTCCTTTTTGCCTTTCCCTTCCCAAGGCAATGCGGGACTGGAGCCGCACGGAGCTGCGCCGGCGATAGCAACTCCTGACTCAGGGGGCCTCCGAGGGGAGGGGAAGGAGGAGAAGAAGGGGGGAGGGGGGGGCAATTCCCAAAAAATCTTGTGCTGACCCGGCCCGTCTGTCAAATTTTAAAAGTCAATGTGGCCCCCGAGCCAAAAAGTTTGCCCACCCCTGTTATATAGTTACCTTTCAATAACAAAATACGTGCCTAATAAAATCATTCTTCCCCTCCCCCACCTGCATTGTTTTTGGCTAATGACCATTCTCAAAGACAAATAAAGAAAATATATGCAGTAGGGTTGTGCATAGCTTCATTTTAGAAGCGGATTTTTAGAATAAATGGTTGCACAAATGCAAGACTTGTTTGCAAACTTATTAAAGCACCATGCCTGCATCAGTCTGGAAAAAGACATGGATTCCTTAATGAGATCAAGACAAGGAATGTGTTTATGCTCCCACCCATTCTAAAGCAGCTCATCTTACATCTAAAGCCCTTGAGTTGACATATATAGTTCTTTACTATCAAAGTATGGGAGAATATAGAACATGATAAAAACTCTATGCTGGTTGGTTTTGTAAAAAAAATATCCTTCCCTTTGCATTCTTTGAGGGGTGAATTCATTGTTATCTATATGGCTCCTGGCTACTTACCTATACTTTGGTTTAATTTTGAGGTCAGTTTTCTTTTCAGTTCAAGCAATAGGCATAGTATGTTGAGGCTTAACTCCAAAAAGGCTTGGGGAAGAAAAAGTGAGAATAAAAACTGGGTTTGACTTTTAATTTAAATTTAATGAAAATTAAATTACATTAATTAAGTACAATTATGTGAATGTTTCTGATGCAATCAATAATTTTAACCTTCTGACATGTTATGATTTGGTGGATTCTTTTGGAAGGACGCTGGGGCCCATATCCAAAGATTCAGCCGGCTGAACACCAGCTGAATGGGATTTAACTAACATAGACATCTCTCACACCAGACTTCATTTTGGTAGAAGTTGTGTTTTCACATTGCACCAAGCCACATTATGATTTGCTTGCTTGTAATTATGAACATTGTGGTTTATAAGCCATGTTGTACCTATTTTTATTCTATTGTTGTTGTCAGTATTTTCATGAAGTCTACCAGAAAGTTCTGATAGGTTTGGATAGTTTTTACAAAAGTATCCTTCCTAAGGATCTAGGAGAACCAAAGACATTGTGATAATATTTGGGCTGTTCTGGATGGTGCAACTTCTGTAATACAGGAGTTGAGGTTCTGTCCACTTTCTCCAAGTGCTTTTCCAGAACTTTTGATATGATGCCAAACACACAAAGCCATCATTAGCCCGACTGCTTTTGTTTCCCACATTTGCTCAAATAATTATCACTTTCAGACCAATCAATTAGCCAAAATGTTGCAAATGTACGTGTTTTCTTATTCAGGAGAAGTCAGAGGAGAACTCATCCAAAGACAAACGCATCCAATGGGCTGATGGATTTGTCTTGGTCTACAGCATCTGTGACCGTGCAAGCTTCAACAGTGTCCAACCCAAAGTCCAATTCATCAAAGCCACCAAGGAAAGTCCAAGCCAGGAGAAAGTGCCCATTGTTATTGTGGGCAATAAGCGAGATCTACACCATCACCGGGAGGTTTCCAGTGAAGAGGGACGTCTCCTGGCCCTCTCCATGGACTGTGAATTCTATGAGGTATCAGCAGCTGAAGCCTATCATGGAGCACTCATGGTCTTCCATGGCTTAGCAGAACGTATCTGTGAGGCTAAGCTGACCCTGAAAAAAGGCACAGGAATCCGCAATATTGTCAAGAGTGTATCCGCTGTCTTTGCTCGGAAAAGAACAGACTCAATGTGAAAAAAAAGCTAACTTTCTGTAAACACTGTGGGAGAACATCCTGGTTCCCACCCCCTTCTTATTTGGGTAGAGTGGAGCATGGATTTTGCTGATGTGGAGTCAGCCTCCTCATTCTGCTAATCCCAAAGGAAAATCAATCCAAGAGTTGGTCTGTATGGCTGTCCTGGGTGGAAATTCAAGAAGAATGAGGTTCTCAAAGGAAGGAAATGGCCATGCCTGTCTCTCCATGCTGAAACACCAGAAGAAAAGGATTTGCCCAAGAGAAAATTAACATCTTGCCCAAATCCACCTAATAAGTTGGAATTGGAATTTGGGAGTCTTATATTAATGTGGTACTAGTACTGTACAAGTTCCAGTACTGTAGTCACTTTGGTATTTACAGAGAGCTATAATATGGATGGAACATCATCACTCTGTCCCCTATGTGAACAGGGCTAAATCAGGGTACATCTAACCATAGTTTACTAGATTAACAACAGTGTAATCTTTAACACTGATCTGAAGCCATAAGGGGATATAATGTGATGACACCCTATTATAAAATTTACTCCAGGATGTCCAGGAGATGTGATAGAACATGGCTCCCAACCTTTTGGGCACCAGGGACTGGTTCCATGGAGAAAGGTTTTTCCATGGACTGGAGGGAGCGTGGTTTTACGTGCTGCCTGCATCCCACGGATGGGGTTTCACTTGCTTATATGGCCCAGTTGCTAGCATGCCACAGCCCAGTACTGATCCATGGACCAGTGACACCTATAGTAGAAGGTCTGTCTGGGTACTTGGAAGGTACCAATGTGGATGAGGAGGAGCAAAGTGAGACTCAACCCTAACAAGAGGAAGCGGTTGTCCATTCAGACAGTGACTGACTCTGAGACAACATCCTCCTTAGGTCTAGAGGACAGGGATTGCTTCCCCCGAAAAAGCTTGTTTCCAAACCAGAATGCCTGGATTCATATTCTACTGTAAGCCTAAACTAATTAAATGTAGCTTAATGCAATGGATGATCCCTGCCCATAACAATGTTGTTTTCTGGTTGAGAATTCAGTCTGAGTGCACAGAAGCTATTGATTTCAGAGGGATAATTTTAATAATCTCCTGCAAAAATAAATGGACCTAAATAGAGATCTACTAGTCCAATAGCAGAATTTCTGCTTTGCATTCAGAAGGTTCCTGATTTAGCTTGACTTTTTAAATTGGCAGTTCTCCAGATGTTGCCCCACTCCCTACCTCTGGATGCCCCATTGGATGGAGACTTCTTAATTAGATATGCCAAGTGTGGCAAACTGGCACCAGGCTTTAGCGGGAATCATTCCATGTTCTGGTGGGCTCTGGAAGGCCAACTGATCCAGTTAATACTGTAGTACTGCTTTACTATCTAAGAAACTAGGTGTTAGCAACATAACCAGAGGTAGGAACTGTCTATGGTTACTTTAAGCTAATATTGCACCTGCAAGGGTTTAATTTAAATATTTGTGCATGAAAATAACTGTTCTTCCTTGCTTCATCTCTTAAATCCAGTGGAATTTGAACATGGATAATTTGTTTGTTGTCTTAGTAGCCTCTCTATGTAGATCAAAGGCCACCTATCTCTTTGCCAGTAAGCACCTGCATGAAAAGAGAGAAAACAGCCCACCAAGGAAAGGGGAAAGGGGTGAAAGGCAAGGTAAGGCAAGGCAAGGCAAGGCAAGGCAAGGCAAGGCAAGGCAAGGCAAGGAAAGGAAAGGAAAGGAAAGGAAAGGAAAGGAAAGGAAAGGAAA